TTAATAAAATTTAAATAAATATAAATTAGTTATTTTTAATTCTGATTTGCTTGGCTGATTTTAGGCTGATTTAGGTTGATTGATGATCAAATTTAGGTAGTTTTTAGGCTAATTTTAGATAGCCGATTGATGATCGATTGATATTTCCGATTAACTCATATTGTGTCAATCAGAATTAATGCAAAATAGCCCTAAATCAGCCATCAATCATCCATCAATTGTCTATTCAATTTTTAGCCGATTTGTACCTATTTCAACCAGTGTATAGTATGTTCATTTACAAGTTTTTTTTATAGTTATTAATTGTTATATAACAAGAAGAAAGACTAATGCTATTCATTATATCAATTGCAATATGTGATGCTCCTGATGCTAATAAATATAATCCAATTTCTAATTTAAAATAATTAATAAATTTCTTTTGCATTCCAGCCATAATATAGCATAAACCTACAACTGATTTTTTTGCTTCAACTTTATTGTATATAGATCTATTATCAGGAACTAATACTTTTATTATTTGACTAAAAAAATTCTGCAAGTGTGAATCAGCTTCTTCAATTATTCGTTGAAAATAATTAGGATCAAGTTCTATACTACAATTTTTCTGATGCTGATATAGAACTTTTGTAAGTATTGTAATTTGTTCAATAAATGTATAATTTTTTATTGTCTTTGTAAAAAACGAAAGTACTATTAAAATACATTGTAAAATAATATAAAATCATTAATATACTTATCATATATTGTTATTTCTTTATTTGTTTTACCTGTTTCCATAGGAATGTTAAGATTGGACTTTTGGTGATGATTTGCTTACACAATATTCATATAATGAATATGACATGTAGTGTTCTGCAATTTAATTTGATATTTGAATATTTGATTTGATCAAATTCAAATCAAAAAATGATTTATTTGATCAAATCCAAATTAATGTTTGATTCGATTCGATCAAATTCAAATCAAGTATTCAAATATTTGATTTGATTTGAATCAATAGTAAAGCTATCTCCAAAGCTTTAGTAGTGGTTCTTATTAAGAAAACCATAGTAAAAACACCTCTGCAGCTTCGAAAATGCTTTTTTTACTAAGAAAACTATAGTAAAAAATGCCTTCGCAACTTCAGAAATGCCTTTTTACTAAGAAAAACATAGTAAAAAACGCCTTCATGACTGTGAAGATGTTATTTTACTAAGAAAACATAGTAAAAAACACTTCCGCAGCTTTGAAAACGTTATTTTACTAAAAAAATATAGTAAAAAATGCCTCTGTAGCTTTGGAGACGTTTTTTTACTAAAAAATCTAGTAAAAATGCATCCGCAGCTTTGGAAACGTTTTTTTACTAATTAAATTGTTATAAAGCCGAGATAGCAGTTATCACTAACAGTCGGTATGCATGTTCATTTTATAGTGCTGATCATAATTAAAAATTTTTGTGTAACCTTTAGGTCTGAAAAGTCCTTTATATGTAACTGTTTCAAAGTCGCAATTTAAATGTATTCAATTTTTAATATTTTTTTTCGTCAGCATTTTTCTATCTAAAAGAAGTGAAGGTTTTGTCTTTCGAGCTCTTCTATCACATTTTATTTTATTGGCAATTCTGCCTATTTTTTGACGTTAAAACCTCAGATTCTTTTGCTATTAGTTTTTAAACCAACAAAAAAGTACCAAACGTTCTTTGCTTTTAACAAACCTTTTGGTAGAATCACTTTACCAAACTATATGCAACAATACTTTTTGATAAAAAATAAATTTTATTTTTTCATATAACGAAATTTATAAGAATAAATGTATAAAAACCAAATTTGCTTTAACAAAATGCAATAATAAAATATTAGTTTATTCACAATTATTGTTTTTATTACGTCTATGATGAGATATATATTGACAAATTCGATTTTTATCCTATTCGTCCCCTAATGCTTCTTTAACTTGATCCAATTGTTTACTAGTTAGATATTCAGAACAAGTTATCAATGGTTCTAAGAGTCTTTTTTCTTCAGATTTGGTTTCACGATGAATTTTTCTCTGCTTTTTTCTTGGTGGTCCATCTTAATTTACTAAGTTTCTTGAATCGATTTGCATCTGTTGGTCAGAAATAGCTCAGTTAGAATTTTCTACATTTGAATGTGATGTTGATGTAACAACGATTTAAGATGATTTCTTTTTTTTTGAATTTTGGTCATTAGGTTTCTATCTTATAACTTCTAATTTTCTTCTTCCAACTTTATTACTTTTTTGCACTGAGATAACATCTTGTAAGAAAATTGCTTCTATTCTTAAGGTTCCATTAGGAAAACAATTACTAAAACGTGTAACATTGGCAGCTGTAAACTGATCAGGAGAAGTAGTATTCTATAAAGGATTTTAATAACGATTATAATTATCTGAATGGCAAAATGCTAATAAAAGTTCATTTATTAGATTCCATATAACTGTTTTACGAGTATCCGTGGCTCTTTGTCCAATTGATCCACAAGGATCATTAAGATATTCTGATAACAAGATTCCTATACGATCTCTTTCACTCTGGGCGGATTTGACTTGCAACTTTAAATTATTGACATCAATTACATTTCCGGTAATATTCTGTTTTACAAATTTAACTCCAAATGTTTCAAGCGTCTCATTAAATGCAAAATAATGACCTTTCTGTCTTTCTTCATTGTCAATTTTAATTGATGAAACACATTCCAATTTCTCCTCAAGTTTTGGATACTGAGCTAATATTCCAAGGTATTGTGCAACTGATACTGAATAATTTGATTTTCCTGCTGATGCAAATAAACCCGCAAAACAAGACAAAGCATTTTTCTGTAATTTGTAATTTCTAACACGAATTCTAACACGATGTGCTTTGAAGATTGATACCCATTTGTAATAAAAATACCATATTTATAAAACGGTATTAGCATTACTGTCTGAATCCACAATATTATCTTTACTGAGATTTGTTTTTTCATATAAATACGAATAGCAATAGTTATTGCACACTATATTAGTTCTAAAACACGAACTGTAGAACGATAATCAACAACTTTATCTAATTTGTACAAAAATTTAACTCCTAATGTTTTTGCTAGATCAAAGAGTCCATAACTTGAAAACAATACAATTAGAACTCCACACATATCCTTCGAAGTATGCTATTGGCCAAGAATAGGATGTAGGTTTAGCTATTGTTCCCTTTGTTTATTAAGTCTTCGAAAGATTGCTTCATCAGCTACTACATCCCTATAAGAAATCGAAATAAGGAAATGATACATTTTTTATAAAGTTTGTATTGTAATAGAAGAGTCAACCGCAAATCATATGACAACAGAATAAACCACCTGATCTACTACACCAAGTATCTGCCATAACTGCTAATTCTGGCAGATCTGTGAAATATGCCAGTTCTACACGATATGCCAGAAATATAATATATGCCAGATATCTG